CCCAGAACACAGAGATAACTTTATTAACTGCTTGGTTCAGTGGTATAAGAATTACGATCTCACTGCCACACAAATATTAAAGTGATGATTTATTCGCCGCTATTGAGATTGTCCTCACAGATTAAGTGAACAAAATAACATTATAAATACTATAATGATACACAACTACGCAGTTTAACACATGCAGCTAGGACTGGTAAAGCATACCGTGAATGTAGAACCTCAGACCCGCTCCGACCTTCGCAAGCTGTACTAACAAGTACACAGAGTAGAAAACAAGAACTTAGGCAACACGAATGAGAACAATTTGTTAGTGGCTTAAATAGCTCTTCCCCTTTAAATTTGGTTTGGAAAGGTGTAAACAAAATAAACCAGGAAAAATAGTAATGTTTATCATCCCTTTCCTCTTGAAAAAGCAGATGACCTTATAAATAACTATTATGAAACATCCAGGCATAAAAATCTCCCATCTCACATTAGAAACAAACCATGAGAATGCTTCTGAAGAAGGTCGAAACTGACTAATTTTATGAGCCAAAATACTGCTGAGAGTTATTGCTCTTCACGGAGTATGAATTTGATTTTGCATTAACTGAAGGTGGATCACCCGCTCCTGGAGAAGATAGTATAAATTATGACATCCTCAAAACTAAGGACTGTCTTTGATAACCCTCTGTTAGCAATGAATAATCTCAGCATCTCTGCTACATAAAGGGAGTTCTTCTTATTTCCAATAGTCTCATAGTGCCTATCTCTAAGCTGCGACAGCCTGATACATTTAGACCGATCTCCTTAATTAGTTGTCTTTGTAAAACGTTTGGAAGAATAGTATTTAACAAATTATATTACAGAATCAGACACCACCTTTCCCTTCATCTCTACAGGTTCATGAAAGGAAAACGTGTGCAGAATTGTATTTTCACCTTCTAATTGCACATTTACCACATTTCTTGATCTAAAATCTGCATTTGCTATAGCAAACAGATCCGTTATACTGCATGAACTTGCCAAAACGAATATTGGTGGTAGCCCACTTAGTTGGATAACAGGATAACTGTTAGAGTATCCTTTGTCCTCTAGCAAGGCTTCAGAAGCGAGTCTAAAGAAATGTCCTTAGGTACACCGCAGGGAGTTCTCAGTCCCGTGCTATTTAATGTTCTGATTAATGCTCTCCTAAATATTTTTCATGCCTCACCTAAACATATATTTTTAAGCTATGCTAATGACATCATGATCCATACAACAGGTCATAAGAAGACGAGTACAATTATTAACGAAGTTCAAGCAATTTGTAATCGATTAGGCCTCATTTCTTCATCTTAAGGATATTGACATGCAAACGGCATCCCTCTCCCATCTATTTGTATGGTGAAAACATTAGCTACGTAAAATCATACAGATACTTAAGTGTAAATGTACCCTTTAATTAATCCACAATAGCACAACTAAATAAGACATGCAAAGATAGGCTAAATGTGATGAATGGTTTGAAAAACCGACAAGTTGAAGATTGAGACACTTATGCAGCATATGGGAATCTTTATTCAGGAAACGTTCCGCCACACAGTGGCTTCATCAGTCCAATACAAAGAGGAAGGCGTAAGGAGAGGAGTAGTATGAGGTAATCAGTCCCTCAGCCTGGAGTCGATGTGTTCAGTCCATCAATCTTGTAGAATTCTACAAGATTGATTACCTCATGCTACTCCTCTCCTTACGCCTTCCTCTTTGTATTGGACTGATGAAGCCACTGTGTGGCGAAACGTTTCCTGAATAAAGATTCCCATATGCTGCATAAGTGTCTCAATCTTCATAGGCTAAATGGTCTCAAAGCTGTTGCTGGTTACAACCCCAACTATAGTGCTAATGTGATGATAGTGAGAATGATGTATATCACCTATGTAAGGTCTTTAATTGATATTGCTGCTCCCATGCTGATATTAGCCGACCCTTGGAGTTAATGCCCACAGAATTGAAACCCACAGAATTATTCTTGCATGTCCCAAATCTACCAAGATTCTTAATATGAGGAAGAAACTTGGTGTCTCTAGTATCGGTGATTGGATTATTGAGATTAACACTGTACTTGGATTGTGAAAACATGCAGTATATCAAGTTTTATAATTTGCACGAATTGTCGACAAATCCATTTCACCCCTCCATGAAAGATGTGTTCATTTAATATCACATACCTGCAAACCCCTCCCAATAAACTCGTTACTAGCAATCCCTGAAGAAGAAATTTTTCACCTAATTAGTAGTAATAATTTATTACATGTTATATGCAATGATCTAAGCAGGAGTCTACTGGTAGGTATGCATCTGCTCTTGTTGCCACTTCCCTAGTTAAGAACAATGGCAACTTTAACTTGACTCACAAAATAGTAATGACACTGTTGCAAACAAACCATACGATCTGGAGTTTCGAGACTCTCTGATCGAGGGTTCAAACCCCACCCGTGGTATGTTTTTTTTAATAGCAACTTTGTTGAGTAAGGTATAAGAATTAACAAATGGGCATCTACACTGCAAACTGAATTGTTTGCCAACCTATTGGTGCTAAAGCTAGCTTATGACACTGAGCTTAACTCTATCATCATTACTGATTCTGTGTCATCACTGAAGGCTCTTGTTATAGAAATGCAGTTAGAAGCCTATGATAATATGAACGTAGGTAAGTACGTTCATGGAACAACTTGCAATGTGAACTGACTGACTGATGTTCTAGTGACCAGGCTTCGGCTTGGTTACGAGTACTTCTGGCAGTTTGGGCGACACTCAGATGATGCTCAAACCAAATTCAATGTATATGACCAGCCCTATGTTCACTATCTTGAATAATAAGTGCTTAATTGTCCACTTATTGTGTAATGTAGAGATAGTGTAATAACCTATGTGACATATCAAGAAATCTTATTAATGAAAACAAGATACCTGATATATTAAGCAAATTTCTTAAATTTGTTTGTAGCAGATAACTGAATTGTAGATACAAATCCAGATGTCCTCCTGTTAACGCTTTTGGGGCCTAGTTCCTAGGCCTTTTGTTTATCAATATGCTCTTGCGTTACAGTCCACAGGATGGAAATGGAGTGGCAAAATCTAAATCTAATCGTTCGGCATTAAAGTAAAATATGCACTTGATATGCCATTCAGAACAGTAAACCATAAGTAAAAGTAACTTCAGCTATGTTGGAAAGAAACCTTTAAAGCTCACATATCTACTGACTCAATAATGGAAGACTTTATTAAATTCTACCAGCACAGGCTGAAGATTTTATTAACTAATTTGAAACTCATGTGCGATGGGGCATGAAAGAAAACCCTTCTGTGTGATGAGTGTGTTGAATGACAACATAATTCTTGATTTCAGTTTGTAAATCATATCGAGCAGGGTTTATTCTACTTTTTCTTTTAAATTTTCTGAAGAAATGAAGACTTGCTAACAATGTTCAGAATTTAACCTTATTCGACATTTAATTAATGGGAGTCGCCCAAAACAGAAAAGGTGATTGACGAGATAGTAACGAGATAGTACGAGCTAGGCACATCACTTCCTGATTCATATCAGGTTAATAGATTAAGCAGAGCAGGGGTTCCAAACCTTTCCTATGCCTCGCACCCCTAGGAAATGTTTGATTAATTTTGCGCCCTAACAAAAGTAATATCACCTTTGAAGATGAAGAACTCAAATTTCAAATTTTTGACTCACAAACTGAACCAAATACAGTACTGCGGTGAACAAACTAAACTCAAAAATTAAGCTTTTTATTCAGTGAACGTACCCTCAGGGGGTTCACCCAAGAGAGGGAACCCCGAAAGTAGAGTGACATATCGTATTGAAGAAAAGAAAACATGGATTACTCGTTGACACAAAAGTGAATAAACATCAGATATTAACACAGACTATTCGTGACATACCGGAAGTAAATTTAAAACATATAACGGGTTCTGAAACAGCGCCAGTCAGCTAGCTATCAACCTTCACGAGGCCAAAACGATAAGAGCTGAGGTAAAGCATACAAGTGTTTCGTCAGTATGATCTAGTTTCTTTTCCAACAGTTAAGGGTAATGAATGAAACACCCAACTTTTTGGACTAGACAGGTACATTCTATAACAAATACTGAAAATATACAAGGGCTACAAGCAAGCTCTTTATCCAAAAATAAAAAGCTGTCGATACCTTACTCGGAGCAAATACAATTTCTCCCCACTTTTCCTATTCTACAGGAATTCTATGATTCCTAAGGGTAAAAGCCTCTCTATGAATTTTATACAAATGATAGAATTCAGTACAAATTATATCTAATACTTTGAAATTCCTGTAATTGGAACTTTTCTGAGAGTTAAGAATCAGTGAAAGATAGTGATCTGCTGGTCACATTATCATCAGATAACAATGATTTCTCAGTTCCTAGAATATAACGGTGTATTTTTTCCATGAAGGAGAGTGTACGTGTTTGTGTGTGTGTGGGGGGGGGGTATTTATCGGTTACGTACTTATATGTGGTTACATGGGTCGAGTCCTCATAACTTACTTTTTATGAGTTAAGTTGCCGATTTTGCCAGATAAAGTCCATCCTATGCTTCATGGTCCATGTTGTGCTTGAACTTAATTCTATACATAGCACCTGCTTCCATCACTTCTTCGTCTCGGTCATTTAAATTCTTGACAACTCGGAGAATGAAGAAATATTTCCGGACACCTTTATGACTCGTCCAAGACTGTAGCTCCCAGCTGTGTACCCGTGTGTGAGGGAAAGACTGGAATGAGGAGGTATGAGGAAATGCTGTACCTAATATGGCTATTAGAAGACTACTCTTTATTGCAGTTTTCAAATTTAGGTGAGCTTATAACAACATGGTAAGTACATGAGGCGCAGTGATTATGAAATCTCTTCTTATAACTAAGTTTATATCAGTACAGATATCGCCAACCACTGATAAGCCAGGCTCCTTCCAGTGAATCCACGACTGCCATAGTAGCTGGGAGTTTCTGTGGTTCAAGAAAAACTTCAATGTGTCGGATTCTGAGGGCGTTATTTCGTCATCAGTAAGTATAAACTACCAACTGCCGTCTTGCTAGAAGTGTGATCACAATTTGGATGATGCTCAGAGCAGGAACATCTCCACTTCTCCTTCAGTGAAGGTAATGTACTTTCTGCTTCAAGGACTATAATCCGGCTAATCATCTTCCTAAAATTCTTCTTTTAGTGTTACCACATTCATACTTTATCACCCCAAACAACTACCACTCCTCCCTCTACTTAGTGCTACCATTACTACTTCTACTATTTCCACCATCAGCATTTCGTCCTTCCGCTCCTTGTCCCGTCCTCTTCTATATGTACTGGCTCCCACTTCTTAGTGTGTTAGTGTGACTTGTAAATGGTCCAAGTCGGACCGAAACGTCGTCATAAACAATATTTGTGTATTGTTCCAGTCACAGTATTGTTCCTTTTTTGTTCTTTGTAAATGTAACTAGCCTAGGCTCGTCAAAGTCGTTCGATGCCAATAAACTTGTCACCACGTATGCCACGGGCGAGAAGAGGCTGGCTTCGTGCTGCAGTTGTAACCTACCGTTTGGATTCTAGAAAGCTCCGTGAAGAATAGCCAGAGCAGACATTATTAAGATAAGCCGTCATTGTAGCCCATGTCTAGAATCTGTTTTGCCATTTAAAATTTGTCGGTTTATGTCTATTTGTGGATCCAAACTATTTGTCAAGAATGTTCTATCCCCGCATGTGGTATTTCCATTATACTAAGTACGAGATAACTGGCACATAGCGCAGATTTAATTTATGTACTGTTTAATTTGTGGTCAGTCATTATAGAACCTATATTTTCATGCCACTGCTACCTATCGGATCTCACCATTTTAAATAATGATTTTTTTTCCAGAGGTGAAAACTTTTACTAAGTGTGAATGTTGGTTTTGTTGTATATTTACTCTCTTTTTTATTAATTTCGTATTACTGCATTTACTGGTGTTAACTGATATTAAATTTTTTTAAACGGGGTAAATTTAGAAGACTAACTAAATGCTAATAGCGCGAGAAAAATCTGCTTAAAATAATATGCTGCAAATCCGTCACAGGTGTTTACCATAATTTTTAAATTGGTAGACCGGTAAGCCAACTAAAGGCCTCAGTCAGATAACCAAAAGAGCCAGCTTATGGTCATCTGACGCGCATCAGGAAACCTTGTCCTGTTTAATGACGAACTTTGCTGGGGTTTGGATAAAAGGTCGCTTGAGGAACACTGGAATGTAACATGTGTTACATGAACTTAAAATGAGTAATACAGGTGTCATGGAACACCCATGACTGTCGTCTTTCAGAAAAAAATGGAAGACACTTGGAAGTATTGTGGTGTGTGTGTAATAAGTTTGACAACTGAGATCACCAACCGTTGCTCATCCTGCCTGTGGTCACACATTCTGCAGACCATGTCTTATAGCCATCCTTAAAGGGAGAAAAGACCTCGAATGCCCATCCTGCAGGTAAGGTGCACATACTAAAATCACTATTAACACAAAACAGTCATTTGTAAATTCATGTTAAGCCATCGAAGATTCGTGCTACACGTGGGTAACATGTCAAGTGAAATTTCTGATTGACAAGTTAGGCATAGCTTAAATTCCTTACAAATTCTGTTAATTAAAAATAAATCAAATTTACATAATCCTGAACTATTATTAATATTAAAATCAATACTATTTTTTCACATTCTTATTTATAACATTTATATATATATAAATATATATATATATATATATATATATATATATATATATATATATATATATATATATATATATATATATTGTATACGTATTGCTCTACCAGCTTTCCTATCCTCTTCCATAGCATCAAATGAGTTAAAAGACAAATTCTTCCTGATAACCTCAGTGACTCAGCAGGAATACAGGACCCTAACTATGCCAGTGCCATCACTGAATGGGAGACTCTTGCTGCTCCAGCACCAAACCCTAGTGCAGCACTGGCTCACAGTCAAGCTGGGATGGCCCGATCGGTGAAAAGGTGCTTGCCAACATGCTCAAGGCTGCAACATCAGATAGGGAGACTGCCCGTCTCCAGGTTGTGAGCGCACTTCACTCCGGGGACTTCCTCCAAACAGTTCTTATATCAGCAATGGGAACGCGCCTCGACCCTAAGAAAACCTACAAATAACTGTTCCTATGTCCACTATTATTCCTCGCATCAAGATAGAGTCAAACTGTCTGTTTTCTCATCAATGTTTTTGAGAGCTTTACGAATTTGTAGTCCTGAGTTCATAGATGAGGAAATATCCAAAATTTATGAAATAGGTAATGATTTAAAATACCCAAGAAATGTAATTGATAAATCTTTTAAAGTTGCTAGAAATACTTTTTACAATCCATAAAGGGACAACCAGCCTTATTCAACTAAAAATATGTTGGTTCTCCCTTACCATGAAAACTTGGTTGATATGCCTTCTCTTCTTAAGACTTTTAACATTAAAGTTGTATTCAAAAATCTTGATACAGTAAAAAAAACTTTTGATAAAGAATTCCCCCAAAATGCTGATGAACGTGTCTATAAGATTCCTTGTAAAATTTGCGATAAAGTTTATTACTGTCAAACTGGTAAAAATCTCGAACTAAGATTAAAACAGCATAAATATAGCATTAGAACTGGACAAGATTCCAATGCTCTATTTATTCATGTAAGAGATTTTAACCATCCAATTGATTTTCAAAAAGTTGAGAAAGTAGTATCAAGCAAGTCCATGGTCGACAGGAATATAATTGAATCTTGTTTCATAAAAAGCAGTTTTGATAATAATATGAATATTTCCCTTGGTTTATATAAATTAAATCCATTTATAATTAATAGAATTTGGGAAGAATTTAATAATACACTGGACAAATAATATTTTTTTAATTTTCTTGGGTAGAATAGTTTGTTGGTGAGTTGTGCAAAGGACCTGTCCAGTTGGGCCGGCGCGCGTCAGGTGTTTAACCGTTGTGGGATCTGATAGTGAGGTGTTGGCCAGACCCCTTATATAGCTTCCTTTGATGCTTTACTTTCATAGTTCCTTGATAATGTGAGTAGTCACGAAAGCGCTTGGAATTTCTCTATTCTTTCAGAGTGGTTGTTTTGCGCATATATATATATATATATATATATATATATATATATATATATATTATATATATTATATATATATATATATATATATATATATATATATATATATATATATATAATCTTTCCTTTGAGAGTTTGCTTTCACCCAGGGCTTCTTAATACGTCCTTCAGAAATTTGTATCATTAAAGGTACCCAAAACTTTCCATCTCGACTATCTGAAAAATCGCTAAACATCTAACATGTAAAAGTGATAAACAATCTAGTCTTTAACTTCAAGGAATATTCCACAGTTTAAATTAGTTATAGAGTTAACTAAAAAACAGTCAAGTAGCTTAGTGTGTGTCAGGTTTTGTAGCCTAAGTGTAGATGAGCATTTTAGTTGTTCACCGACCATGATTCCCATCTTGCTGTGAGGTCTGAACTGCCGGAAGTAATCAAGTATATCATAAGCGTGATAATGATCCTCTGAGCGGGGTTGTGTGTGAACACAGGAACTATGCGTCTGTAGGCGCTTGTATAATGCTGCTAAAGAGATCTTGGTCCTAGGAACTGGAGCTGTCCTTCCTCTCCTTAGATTGGACTTCATTGCCTCCCTCTTAAGCGCTGTGCAACTTACGTGTTTACGCTTCCCAGTGAATGTAATATTAAAACGACTGCAACAACAAGAATGACAATAAAAATAATGAAAATAATAGTAGTAGAAATTAATAATGGAATTAAAAAATCGCAAGATTAAAATAAAAGTTTAAGGAAGAAGATGAAGAAGAAATCAAGCAATTGGAGGATGACTAGTGAACTGATGAACTGAGAAAAATGCAGTGGGGTAGAAATGACCGGATATATATCAAGGACAAGGTTTCCTCTGCTGATACGCTGAGCCACCTAACATACCCAAGTGTCACAAGGTGCGCGTCAACCGGAGAAGCAACACTTCTGCGCTGTAGGTGAGTGTTGAACTGAGCTGGGAAGAGCTGGCAAAAGTAGAGGATATGCAAGAAAATGTTGATGCAATTCTTCACTTGAATGTCAAGGATACACTGTTGTTGTAATGCTTGACCTACCTTAGTGAATGACTGGGGCACGCTGGTGTTGTAATGCCTGATTTGACTGAATGTCTGAGAAGTTATGTTGTAATTTTTGATCAGAATGAACGTTCGGAACACAGTAAAAATACGAGGTTAACGGGTGTGTTGTAGAAGCAATAATAGATATTTAAAATTCCCGTTTTTAATCATGAATAATCGAGTGCAATTTTTAATTAAAAAAATGCATTAGTTAAACAAGGCGCTGCTGCCACAGATATTACACTGTCATACGTGTTATTGTTGAAGATATAGTGTCATCCTGGAGAAGTCTCTCTAAGAACTATAATTTTGTGCTTGTGCTTGTATTATATACTGAGAGTGAACTTAATAACCAACCGTTATCAATTTTTTTATGTGCTAAGAAAACTGCTTATATAGTGATTATTTTTATATTGTTCGCTTAATTTTAATTTTTCTTGGTTTCTTATTTCATCTTGGTCACTTGTTTAATGCTTCTCAGTTATTTCATCTCGGTCACTTGTTTAATGCTTCTCAGTTATTTCATCTTGGTCACTTATTTAATGCTTCTCAGTTATTTCATCTTGGTCACTTATTTAATGCTTCTCAGTTATTTCATCTTGGTCACTTATTTAATGCTTCTCAGTTATTTCATCTTGGTCACTTATTTAATGCTTCTCAGTTATTTCATCTTGGTCACTTATTTAATGCTTCTCAGTTATTTCATCTTGGTCACTTATTTAATGCTTCTCAGTTATTTCATCTTGGTCACTTATTTAATGCTTCTCAGTTATTTCATCTCGGTCACTTGTTTAATGCTTCTCAGTTATTTCATCTTGGTCACTTATTTAATGCTTCTCAGTTATTTCATCTTGGTCACTTATTTAATGCTTCTCAGTTATTTCATCTCGGTCACTTATTTAATGCTTCTCAGTTATTTCATCTCGGTCACTTATTTAATGCTTCTCAGTTATTTCATCTTGGTCACTTATTTAATGCTTCTCAGTTATTTCATCTCGGTCACTTATTTAATGCTTCTCAGTTATTTCATCTTGGTCACTTATTTAATGCTTCTCAGTTATTTCATCTTGGTCACTTATTTAATGCTTCTCAGTTATTTCATCTTGGTCACTTATTTAATGCTTCTCAGTTATTTCATCTCGGTCACTTATTTAATGCTTCTCAGTTATTTCATCTTGGTCACTTATTTAATGCTTCTCAGTTATTTCATCTTGGTCACTTATTTAATGCTTCTCAGTTATTTCATCTTGGTCACTTATTTAATGCTTCTCAGTTATTTCATCTTGGTCACTTATTTAATGCTTCTCAGTTATTTCATCTTGGTCACTTATTTAATGCTTCTCAGTTATTTCATCTTGGTCACTTGTTTAATGCTTCTCAGGTATTTCATCTTGGTCACTTATTTAATGCTTCTCAGTTATTTCATCTTGGTCACTTATTTAATGCTTCTCAGTTATTTCATCTCGGTCACTTGTTTAATGCTTCTCAGTTATTTCATCTTGGTCACTTATTTAATGCTTCTCAGTTATTTCATCTTGGTCACTTATTTAATGCTTCTCAGTTATTTCATCTCGGTCACTTATTTAATGCTTCTCAGTTATTTCATCTCGGTCACTTATTTAATGCTTCTCAGTTATTTCATCTTGGTCACTTATTTAATGCTTCTCAGTTATTTCATCTTGGTCACTTATTTAATGCTTCTCAGTTATTTCATCTTGGTCACTTATTTAATGCTTCTCAGTTATTTCATCTTGGTCACTTATTTAATGCTTCTCAGTTATTTCATCTTGGTCACTTATTTAATGCTTCTCAGTTATTTCATCTCGGTCACTTATTTAATGCTTCTCAGTTATTTCAACTTGGTCACTTATTTAATGCTTCTCAGTTATTTCATCTTGGTCACTTATTTAATGCTTCTCAGTTATTTCATCTTAAGCATTTTGTTTCATATTGATCAATCATGTATTCCTGGTGACTTGCTTTATCTTAACTGCTTGTTTGTTTTTTGCTAATTTATCTTGCGTTACATGCTATCTTAGAGTCACATACAACCCCATGGTCACCGATTTCATCATCATTAAAGAATACAGATCAAAAGTTTTCTGATTAAACTGTCATATTCCGTCACATTTTTTTCGGCTGTTTAAATAGCCTTTGGAGAGTGTTGTAAATAAATTATTGTATTATCTGCTAACATAAAATGCTGCATTTTCGGCTTGCAGGTATAATTTTTTCTTCTTTCTTTTATAAATTTCTGAAATTTATATATTTTTTTTTTATTCGAGAGTTTAGCTACAATTACTTTTCGAGCAATAAATCTTTTTAACATCCTGCTCTTCGTGAATTCAGATACTAATGTGGTATGTATAACTGTAATATACAGCTGTGAGACATCATTATATTTCTTTCCTCGTTCGTCCAGTCAAACAGGAAACAGGGAAAGCAATTTATGAAAACGATGAATTTTTGCAAATATGCTCTTGAACACTGTAGAAAGTGACGTCCAGGGTTCTCTCTTCTGTCCCACTGCAGTAACTTCACTTATTTTCAGATTATTGGAAAACAGTCCCTCTTCCAATAAAGGTTTATAGGCTGGAAAATGAAAAACAAATTCTGAGTAAAATTGCTTCTATAAATGTCTGCAGGATATCGTATAATTTTTGCGTAAGCCAGACCAGATGTGGAGGGCAAATTTCAGGAAATTCCAAGATTTTTTGCTACTCATGTGGAACAATTTACAGCCTTATATGTAGCATTTCTCTATCTTTCAGGTCTCTGTTAAACCAATATTATAAGCTAAGATTAATTGCACATGCAGTTAATGTTAGCTCATCTTATTTCTTATTTCAGCATAGTAAACCTTAGAGAGTTAATCACTCGCTGCACTCTAGTGCCTCTCTGTTGACCAGTTTCACTGCACAGCAGATCAACCCTCACCTTCCTCGAACTCCCAGTCTAGGAACTGAGTTAACAGACTGGTTTTGAGGGGGTGAGGATATACTGTGAAGGCTACTAAGGCTATCAGAAAGGACAGCTGGGTTACAGAAAGTGGCTGTTAGTTCAGACACAACACAGCAATGTTCTTAGCAACACGGTAGCTCAGCGGAAAAGCGCTGGATCTTATAATCTCGGGACCACTGTTCGAACATCCCGTCCACATTTCTTATGTATCGACAGTCATTCCTTATGACTTGACTTGATTTATAAATATAAATAATATAAATAATATATATAATAAATACATTGATTTATGCTTAACAATTCGCAAACAGGCGAAATTATTTACACACATTGTCTCTACGGCCACAGCAGGACTCGAACCTGCTAACTCTGTATCAGAGTTCACAGTACTTTACCATGAGACTAGACCCGCGATAAGTATGGGCGCTTAGCCGAAGCTAAGCATGTGTTAAGCATTTCAAATCTCTTTCGTTGTCCACTGCATGTGGCAGGATTCGATGGAATAACTTTCAAAATGAGCTCGGTGCCCTTTGGGTATGGGGAAACATCTCTTAGCTTCGGCTAAGTGCTAATACTTATCGCGGGTCTAGTCTCGTGGTAAAGACCCACCTAGTTGAGGTTGTAGGGGTCGAGTCCTAGCTCCTGGCCCCACCTCTTCACTGGTCGCTACTAGGTCACTCTCCCTGAACCGTGAGCTTTATCATTCCTCTGCTTAAAGCTACGTATGGATCCTGCCTCCTCTACATCGCTTCCCAAACTATTCCACTTCCTGACTACTCTGTGGCTGAAGAAATACTTCCTAACATCCTTGTGATTCATCAATGTCTTCAGCTTCCAACGGTGCCCCCTTGTTGCTGAGTCCCACCTCTGGAACATCTTGTTTTTGTCCACCTTGTCAATTCCTCTCAGTATTTTGTATGTCGTTATCATGTCCCTCCTATCTTTCCTGTCCTCCAGTGTCGTCAGGTTGATTTCCCTTAACCTCTCCTCGTAGGACATACCTCTTAGCTCTGGGACTAGTCTTGTTGCAAACCTTTGCACTTTCTCTAGTTTCTTTACATGCTTGTCTAGGTGTGGGTTCCAAACTGGTGCCGCATACTCCAATATGGGCCTAACGTACACGGTGTACAGGGTCCTAAACGATTCCTTATTAAGATGTCGGAATGCTGTTCTGAGGTTTGCTAGGCGCCCATATGCTGCAGCAGTTATTTGGTTGATGTGCGTTGATGTGTGTGTGTGTGTGTGTGTGTGTGTGTGTGTGTACTCACCTAATTGTGGTTGCAGGGGTCGAGACTCAGCTCCTGGCCCCGTGTGTGTGTGTGTGTGTGTGTGTGAGGTTACTAGTTGTCAGAGGCACATGTCAATTAGACACTTGGCCTCTTGTGTATGTATATGTGTGTGTGTTCATGTGTATGTGTAAATGTACTCACCTAATTGTAGCTGCAGGGGTCGATACTCAGCTGCTGGCCCTGCCTCTTCACTGGTCGCTACTAGGTTCTCTTTCTCCCTGCTCTATGAACTTTATTATACCTCGTCTTAAAACTATGTATTGTACCTGCCTACACTACATCACTTGCCAGACTATCCTACTTAATGATAACTATGACTAAAGAAATACTTCCTAACATCCCTAACATCTGAGTCTTCAGTTTCCAATTGTTTCCAGTTGTTTTTGTGTCCCCTCACTGGAACATCCTGTCTCTGTCCACCTTATCTATTCCTCACAGTATTTTTTATGTCGATATCATATCTCCCCTAACCCTCTTGTCCTCCAGTGTTGTCAGGCCGATTTCCCTCAACTTTTCTTCGTAGAACATTCCTCTTAGCTCTGGAACTAGCCTTTTAGTATACCTTTGCACTTTCTCTAATTTCCTGACGTGCATGACCAGGTGTGGGTTCCGAACTGGTCTTGCATACTTCAGTATGGGCCTGACGTACACACTGTACAGAGTCTTGAACGATTCCTTACTGAGTTATCGAAACGCTATTCTCAGGTTTGCCAGGCGCCCATATGCTGCAGCAGTTATCTGGATGATGTGTGCTTCCGGAGACGTACTCGGTATTATACTGGCCCCAAGATCTTTCTCCATGAGTGAGGCTTGCAGTCTTTGGCCGCCTAGCCTATTCCTTCCATCATGTCATTCACATATACCAAAAATAGCACTGGTCCTAGGACTGACCCCTGTGGGACCCCGGTCGTCACAGGCGCCCACTGTGATACTTCATCGCGTACCATGACTCGTTGTTGCCTCCCTGTCAGGTATTCCCTGATCCAATGCAGCATTTGTGTACATGTGCACGTGTGCACATGTACATTTCTGTAGTTAATTACAGTATGTATTGTACTAATACTGCATAACATTCATATTTTCAACCCATGACAGCATTTTGAAACTAGTTTTTATGTAATATTTCATTACTATATTGTAGTAACTCTTGTTTAGAGATTCTGTCAACAGTATTTCTTGTGTAATATATATAATCTAATACAATTTATATGCAGGCTCCCTGCCCAAGTCTTAGATGTACCCAGCACAAATTTCCCCAACAAAGCTAAAATAATCAATATTTATACAATACTGCAGTAATAACACTAAAAAAATAAAAAAAAAATAACATTGAAAATATCCTCTTCCTTACCAAACACTGCTTAGTGGGCTCGAATGTGTGTGTGTGTGTGTGTGTGTGTGTGTGTGTGTGTGTGTGTGTGTGTGTGTGTGTGTGTGTGTGTGTGTGTGTGTGTGTGTGTGTGCGCCTAACTTGCCGAATACGCTGAATTTCCTTAACTGGACTTTTCTAACGATATTTTTTCCATTGACAAGGATGAAAAAAAATATATTTTTTTTGACCAAACCTATCTTATAAACCTCTTCTAACAAACCTAAGGTAATTTTTTTAGCCACATCTTGCAATTCTTACATATGATTTTATCTTGTTAGGCAAGGCACAGTTCCCCTGGCACCTTTCCCCTGGCTACAACGTCACTTCCTCTAGTCCTGTATTTCATTTATCTACAGTGCTTCATCGTGAAGAGGCAGTTACTACAAGCAGCAGATCATCTAAAGACACCCTGGTCGTGCATAGAGGTGAACGATAGCATCTTGCTAGCAACAGCTTTGGAAATTACAACCAAATCAAGTAAAGTGTGCCAGCATCTGTGGCAACTTAGCCCTAATATGGCTGAGGAATGTGTGAGGAGGGTGGGTAGCCAGCTCGCACCAGTGGGCTTGCAGTGGCTATATTCAGATAGAATAAGTGTTCCTGCCTTCCTAGCTTGCTAACCTATTTTTTACTCTTTGAACCGTTGAGGTGGTGTGAAAAATTTTAGAGTCCAAGACAGTTTATTCTCCAGGCAAGACCTACCAATCTCCCTGCAGCCCTGCCAATTACGCCAGCCCAACCCCCACCACCAACCACAACCTCTCCTCTTATCAGCAATTCCGACGTAGTATAGGTTTTAGAATTTTGCCTTCTTTAACCACCTCTCTGCTACAGTTTAATACATATAAACTGTGTGCAAAGCTTGTTGATGCTTCTAGACGCGACAGAACTTGTGAAGACAGAAGTTTCATCAAGAACTTCTTGGGCGCAACTTTAAAAGATGACAACAGATGGCGCTGTTGTCGGTAGTCCTGCTTCAGCAACATCAGCTGATAGCTTATCCACACCTTCTAATATCATAGAAAAGGCTACTTATCTCATTATCCCATCGGTGTAACTTAGACATATAACTTAATGATGCTATAGGTATTGTGATTTGTATATACCTTAAGTCAGTTTTACCACACTGAGTGAGAGTGTGTGGTGTGTCCTTGCCTTCCCAGTGTAAGTTTATAACGATGCAGGTGTACATGATTACAATTGTCATACATGGTAAAGTATGTGTGGGTAAGTGAGTTTGTTTGCGTACTGATGCACATGCTTAGAGTTATGCAAACTACCATACATAGATACATAATAATGTGTGAATTACCTAGGATAACTCAAAGAAGTCAGGCAAAGTGACTTAGTTCCATTGTCATTGCAACATACCTAGTTAGAAGTGTTTTTATTAAGCATTAAATAAGCCTGCCAATGTTGCAAAAACATCTTATTGGTGACAATAAGTGTTTTTTGTGTACTAAAGTAAATTAATCTTACAAACTGGTTGTTTCTCTCTCTCTCTCTCTCTCTCTCTCTCTCTCTCTCTCTCTCTCTCTCTCTCTCTGTCACATTATACAAGGGAAAGCTCATATTGCATATATTGCATGTAAGCTCTTGACTTTTTTATACAGTTCTAATTAGACTTATTTTGCAGAACTTCATCGATGTGTGAACAGTATATTGAATATTACCTGATTCCTCTGTGTACCTGTAGTACCTATGTGTACCTGTAGTGTGTGTGTGTGTGTGTGTGTGTGTGTGTGTGTGTGTGTGTGTGTGTGGTGTGTGTGTGTGTGTGTGTATGTGTGTGTGTGTGTATGTGTTTATAAATTGTGAATAGGTGTATGACCTTGTTTTCACTGTCCATTATGTGCCATAATATTACTACCCGTACAGGAAGTCTCTTAATGCAATTTTAATGAGGTTTGTCTCGTAATAAGTAGTAACAGCCTGAACTGAGTAAAGTAGAAGTGTTCATTGAATTTGAACCCCTTTGTTTAATGTGATCTATGTATAGAATTCTGATTTTATGGTCATTATTACCTCTTGTATTTTTTAATGATTTTTTTTTTTTCCATCTTTGTAATTTGTGCTAATGTGCAAGACCTTGTCTATACCATTCATTACAGGTGCCGTTTTATTAACTTCCTTACAGGAGGTAACTGTGATTTTAGTAAAGTGTGTATAGTATTATGCAGTAGTAACCTGAGTTAATTGTTAGTGCTCATTGAATTTGAAGCCATTTGCTTTATATAATCTATTTTAGATTTCTGAATTTGGAGTCAATATTAACTCTTGCACTAGCTATAGACGGAGAAGGGGGGGGGGAGGGTGAATGAGGAATTCTTGTGTTGTGAGTCTTGCAAGAGGTCATCACTGGTAGATATGGCAACTTTCATTGAGGAACATATTCCTGCAGGTACTAGAAATTATGACAGCTTTCAGACATTTAAAAGTAAGCGAAGGAAAAGTGAGAGAGAGCTATAGAACCGACGTAGTCAGGCTCACCTGAATTGTACGCAGTGTGACACTGAACGTCCTTGGTGCACACAACGTGCAACAGCTGTGTCATTCTTCAAAGGAAGATTGTTAGGCTACACCTCCCTGACAACTTCCTGTGAAAGGTGCATGGCTAATGGAAGCAGTAAAGAAATATCCTAAGGCAAGAATCCAATTTAGAAATAATTCGCACAACTATGTGTTAGTAGAACAGAATGATGATGTGATCAATGCTCTGCCTAATACAACATATGGAGGAATTAAGCTGCTCCGCCATCATTAACTCAGTAGTTTAAAAAATGAATCAGCGTCATAATCTTTGGATACCCTCTCTACATAGACCCATCCTATTTAACTCAAAATGAACATATCATCAAATCAAAGAGACTTAAAGGAAGACTACGTTTTTTACCCATTTAGGTGCATCAGCCCCCTGGGCATAGGGTTACAAATGCCAACACTGGCCATGCTGCAGTAGACTATGCAATACTACATTCTTGGTGTGGTACGTGTGCCGGGGAACATCCCTTTGGGGAATGCACAAGGGGGCCTGACAGTCATAAATTTAAATGTATTAATTGTAGGGAAGTTGGGGTTACAGTTTGGCATAAGAACTGCAGATGGAACCTAAACAACGTTTGATCAAAACCAGATAACAGTCCCTTAATGGCAACTGAGTGCGAGGCTAGCCAGCCCACCACAGCCATACCTGTGACTCCATCTTTGCAAAGTGTGAGAGCTCCCACACTTTGGTGACACCAAAATGCAATCACACATACCAGTTGTGGAGGAGCTCGACATTCCTGCTAGCATTCATGGAACTACTGATCTGCCACTACTCACACTTGGAATTACACCTGAATATGTGGATGAGCATGTCACTCTTCCCAACACCGACTTCTATGACAGTCACACGGGCACTACACGTGTGACTCGATTGGAAGCTGGAGATAAGTTAATTGCACAGGACCTACCAACAATGAATCACGAGACATTCATGCCAGAGGCACCATCAGAGAACACTAGTGTAACCTTAGTACCTATCAATGTGATAGGTGCTGAAAAAAGAACTAACTCGCGAGTACCTTTCTCTGGAAAAGTATTGGATTCCCCTGACCTTTTTCAAATTATAACAAACCTGCAGAAAAAATGAGCATCAACAGATGCTGATAATTTTTATATATAAAGTTAGTCAGAATGGTGCTCTTGATTACGAAAATATCACAAGTTCAGCAATTTCTATTCAGTTTCAGACGATTTGTGAGGAAGCAGCCAATGGTTCTTGGCTTCAAACTTTTGCTTGCACAATGCCGGGAAATGCTTAGAGAAAAAGGTTTTGAAAATAAAAAGGTACAAACTATGCTTTTTGCTTTAATGAGTTTGCACACTGTAGCCCAAACAAAATAGTCTTACCATCTTAATGACAAAGAGATTGTAATAACTTACTACAATGGATAGATTATATTTTTTTTCATGGAAAATTGCTTCTATCAGGAAGCGGTTGCCTGACGTACATCATATTAATGCAACCAAGAATATTGATGTCATCTGTATGCAGGAATGTATGTAGACTAAGCTGGAGTACCTCCACCGACGTTGCCCGGAAATACAGTTTATAACTTAAGGTCAATCAAATGTTGTGTGATGTAGGTTAGAAAGAACCTGCCACATTCACTCCTTGCCCTGCAGACTCGAGTAAGCATGCAGTATCATGGTGTCAAAAAATATGCAGGCAACTTTCCCATAAACATCTTGAATCTTTATACTCCAACAAATCAGTTTCCATCTGATGCTCTGCCAGATCAGATCAATAGTGTGCTTACTCTCATTCTTGAAGACTTTAATGCCAGACATAAGAATACTGATAGTCCTATAACAAACGCCAAAGGAACTAATGAAATTTCTAAATGAGCATGATAATGGTCAAATTGTGGACACTATTAAGCCTACTTACATATATGGTGGCACTAGATTTGTGCCTTGGATTAATATATCATATGCGATGCATGACTGTCATAGTTGATGATCCATCTAATCACTTCCCAAGACTCACAACTGTCAATCTTAGATCATATCTCCAGCAATCAAAAAGCAAAATACAGGAGAAGACACATTCTTAACCCAGAACAAAGAGATAACGTTATTAACTACTTGGTTCAGTGGTATAAGAATTACGATCTCACTGGCACACAAAAATTCAATGATGATTTAGTCGCCGTTACTGAGACTGTCCTCACAGATCAAGTAAACAAAAAAAGAAGGCAAATTTTCCACCATAAATGGCAACAAATATCATTGTAAATACTATAATGATACACAGTTACGCAGTTTAACACATGCAGCTAGGACTGGTAAAGCGTACCGTGAATGTAGAATCCCAGACTTGCTCAGAACTTTGCAAGGTGCACTAACAAATGCACAGAGTAGAAAACCAGAACTTAGGCAACAAGAATGAGAACAATTTGTTATTGGGTTAAATAGGTCTTCCCCTTTATGTTGGCTTGTGAAGGTACAAATAAAATAACCAGAGAAAAAGACTGGTGATGTTGATCATCCCTTTCCTCTTGAAAAAGCAAAGGGCCTCATAAATAACTGGTGTAAAACATCCAGGCACGAAAATTTCTCATCTCAAAATAGAAACAAATCAAAAGAGTGCTTCTCAAGAAAGGTTAAAACCGATTAATGTTATGAGCCAAAATATTGATGAGAGTGACTGCCTCTTCACCGAGTATGAATTATATAATTCATTAGCTGACAGTTGATTAACCGCTCCTGGAGAGGATGGTATAACTTTATGATACCCTCAGAACTAAGGCATATCCTTGATATGTCAGGAGTGCATAATCTCATCGAGGGAGTTCTTCCTATTTCCTGGACAGTCTCATTGTGCCTATTCCTAAGCTGCAGCAGCCTGATACATTTAGACCGATCTCCTTAACTAGTTGTCTTTGTAACACTTTTGAAAAAATAATACTTAACAAACTATATTACAGAATCAGACACCACCTTTCCCCTCTTCTCCACGGGTTCATGAAAGGAAAAGTGTGCAGAACTATATTTCCTCCTTTCTAATTGCACATTTACATTTCTTGATCTAAAATCTGCACTTGATATCGCAAACAGATCCATTATAATACATGAACTAATATTAATACTGGTGGCAGTTCTCAGTCCCATGCTATTTAAGCCTCACCTAAACATTTAGTTATAAGCTGTGCTGTTGACATCATGATCCATGCAACAAGCGCATAAGAAGATGAGTACCATTCTTAACGAAGTTCAAGCAATATGTAATCGATTAGACCTCATAATTTCATCTTGAACAAAGATATTTATAAGCAAATGACATCCCCATCCCTTCTATTTGTAGGGTGAAAATATCAGCTACGTTAATTCTTACAGATACCATGGTGTAGAAGTACCCTTCAATAAATCCACTTATCACAAATAAATAAGAAATGAAAAGATAGGCTAAATGCTCTCAAAGTTGTTGTTGGCTGTAACAGCAACTATGGTGATAATGTTAAATCGTGAGAATAATGTACATTGTCTATGTGAGGTCCTTGATTGATTCTGCTGCTGCCGCCATGTTGATAATAGCTAAAAAAATGTTCTCTCCAACCCTTGGAGTTAATGCAGGATGAAGCCCGCAGAATTATTTTTGGCCGTCCCAAATCTACCAAGGTTCTTAATATTAGGAAGGAGCTAGGTGTGTCTAATATCAGTGAGAGGATTGTTGAGATTAATACTGTACCTAGGTTGTGAAAACATACAATTATATTAAGTTTTATAACTTTTACGAACTGTAGATAAGAGCATTTCACCCCTCTGTAAAAGATGTGTTTATTTAATATCACATACTTGCAAACCCTCCCAAGAAACATCATTTGCAATCCCTTCTTTAAATCACTTGTACAAGCAACTGAAGAAGAAATTTCTCGCCTAGCTGGTAGTAATAATTTATTACAAGCTATATACACTGATGTAAGCAGGAGTCTATTGGCAGGGATACATCTGCGCTTGTTGCCACCTCCTTAATTAAGAACCATTGCAATATTATTGAGTTCGGCATAAGAATTAACCAATGGGCGTCTACGCTGCAAACTGAATTGTTTACACTGAATTATTTGCCAGCCTAATGGTGCTAAAGCTAACTTACTGATTCTATGTCATCACTGAAGGCTCTTGACTCACATAATGACTAACATCATGCTCTGAGAAAAAGAAATTAATGTACAATTGCTGTGGATCTATCACATATTGGATTACTCAATCATATTAAGGTTGATATGTTAGCCCCACAAAAAGTACCATGAAGGATAATGTAGAATATAACTGAGTATCTGTGTCAAGCATAAGGAATAATATTACGAGAGAAGTAAATAATGAAACTGAATGTTATAGAAATGCAATCAGAAGCCTGAGTAAATCCATAACCCACTATGATAATATGAACGTAGGTAAGCACGTTAATGGAGCAACTTACAATGTGAATAGAATGACTGATGTTGTAATGGCCAGACTTAGGCTTGGCTGTAAGTACTTCTGGCAGTTTGGGAGACACACAGATGATGTTCAGAACAAATGCAAAATATGTGGCCAGCCCTATGGTTACTATCAGGGTTTATTTGCACGCTTATCTTATAAGTTTTTTATAAAATTTTGAAGAGATGAATTAATGGGAGTCGCCCAAAACAGAAAAGGTGATGGACGAGTCAGTTTGTAACGAGATAGTATGAGCTAGGCACATCACCTCCGGATTCATATCAGATTAAGAATAAGCAGAGCAGGGGTTCCAAACCTTTCCTATGCCTCGCACCCTTAGGAAATGTTTGATTAATGTTGCACCCCAACAAAAGTAATATCACGTGCACCCAACGTTGGGAACCCCTGAAATCGAGGGACATATCGTATCAGAGAAAAGAACCCGTGAATTACTCGGTCACACAGAAGTGAATAACCATCAGACAGTAACACAGACTATTCATAATATACCGGAAATAAATTTAAGACACCTAAAGGGTATAGAAACAGCACCAGTCAGCTAGCTATCATGAAACCAAACCGACAAGAGTTAAGGTACAGCATGCAAGTGTTTTGTCAGTATGATCTAGTTGTGTGGATTCTCGTAGATACTAATGACAAAATAACAACCACTGTCATAACAGTTTCTGTTCAGACAGTTCAGGATATTAAATGAAACATCCAACTTTTCTGACTACAAAAGTTCATTTTATAATAAACACTGAAAATATACAATGGCTACAAGCAGGCCTTTTATCTAAAGAATTGAAGCTATCGATACCTTCCTCGGATCAACTATGAATTCCCCCACTTCTCCGATTCCACAGGTATTGGATGATTCTAAGTTTAATACTTAGAAATTCCTGTAACTGGAACTTTTCTGAGAGTTAAGTATCAGCTGGTCACATTATCATCAGAGAACAATGATTTCTCAGTTCCCGGAACATAACGGTTTATATTTTTCACATGAAAGTGAGTGTGCTTGTGCGCGTTTGTGTTATGTGGTTGCATGGCTTAACTTAAATCTGTACATGGAACCTGCTTCCATCACTTCTTCGTCTCGGTCATTTAAATTCTTGACCACTCGGAGATAGAAGAAATACTTCCTGACATCTTTATGACTCGTCCATGACTGTAGCTTCTAGTTGTGTACTCGTGTAAGTGTGAGGGAAACAGCGGGATGGGGAGGCATGAGGAAACGCTGTACCTTATATGGTTATTAGAAAACTATTTTTATTGCAACCTTCAGATTTAGATGAGCTTATGACATCATCTTTTTCATGACAATACATGACGTGCAGAGTAATTGTACAATCTCTTCTTAAAACTAAGTTTATCATATCAGTACAGATATCGCCCGCCACTGATGTAAGTAAACTACTCCGGCCAGTGAGTCCACGACTGCCATAGTAGCTGGGAGTTTCTGTGGTGCAAGAAATACTTCACTGTGTCGGATTCTGAGGGCGTTATTTCATCATCAGTAAGTATAAACTACCAACTGCAGTCTTGCTAGAAGGGTAATCAAGGATTATAATCCGGCTAATCATTTTCCTTAAATTCTTCTTTTAATGTTACCACATTCATATTTTATCACGTCAAACAACAATCTCTCCTCCCTCTACTTACTACTACATCTAATATTTCCACTACCAGCATTTCCTCTACCACTATTTTTCCACTTTCTTCCTCTCTTTGACCCGTCCGTGTCCCTCTCTACTATATATACTGGCTCCCACATCTTAGTGTGTTAGTGTGACTTGTGAATCGTCCAAGTCGGACCGAAACGTCGTCATGAACTTTTCTCTTTCATGTGTGGGTTATTTGTGTATTGTTCGAGTCACGGTATTGTTCCTTTTGTTTTCTTTGCAAGTGTAAGTAGCCTAGGATCTTCAAAGTCGTTCTCTCTAGGCCATGTGCGATGACTGGTTTCGTGCCTCAGTTATTAACTGAATCTCTTAACTTTTAAGTTGCCAGGTTTGTATCAGTGGTGCTGTGGAGCTATTCTTCGTGAAGAAGAGTAGCTCCAGCAGACATTATTAAGATAAGCTGTCAGTGTAGCCGATGCAGAGAATTTGTTTTGTAATTTAAAATTTGTCCGTTTATATATATTTGTGGGTCTAAAAGACAGAGAGAAGCTTTCCAGACTGTTTGTCAAGAATATTCTACCATCGCACCTGGCATGTAAGTTCACAGCTCTGTCGAAGAGGTAATTCCATATTAGCCAAATATAAGATGGCTGGTACTTATTGTGGATTTGATTTATGTACTGATTTATTTATCGTCAGTCATGATTGAAACCAATTTTTCTATGACATTTCTGGCTTACGATCTCACATTTTTTAAACAATGAATTAGTTCCTAAAGAGAAAATGTTTGCTAAAGATAGAATATTTATTTTGCTGTATATGCACTTGCTTATTATTTTGAAAACTCGTATTATTGCATTTACCGGTGTTAACTGATATTATACTCTGCAGAATTTGTTAAATTTAGAAAACTAAATGCTAATAGCGTGACAAAAAAACTACTTTGAGTAATATACTGCAAATCCGTCAGTGGTGTTTATCATAATTTTTAAAAGGGTGGAACGGTAAGCCAGCGGAAGGCCTCGGCCAGATGACCAAAAGCTCCAGTTGCTGTTCATCATATGACTAAGACCCGCGTCAGGAAACACATGTCCTGTTTAATGACGATTTTTACCTTACCTAACTGGAGTTTGAATGAAAGGTCGCTTAAGGAACACGGGAATTGTAACTTGTGCAACATAACCTTAAAATGAGTAAAACAGATGTTAATAAATAACTGCAGGTGTTGAGGTGACTATTAGTTTCCTAATAATGGGACACCCATGACTGTCGTCTTTCAGAAAGAAATGGAAGCCACATGGAAGTATTGTGATGTGTGTAATAATAAGTTCGACAACCGGGATCATCAACCAGTTGCTCTTACTGCCTGTGGCCACACATTCTGCAGAACTTGTCTTATAACCATCCTTAAAGTGAGGAAAGTCCTCAGAATGCCCATCCTGCAGGTAAGGCACACGTATTAAGATCACTGTTAATACATAACACTCGTTTCTAAATGCATGTTAAGCCGTCGAATATTAGTGCTAAACGTGGGTCATACGTCAAGTGAAATTTCTGACTGACATATCAGGCAAAGCTTAAATTCTCGCAAATTCTGTTAATTATAAATGGATCAAATTTATATAAACCTGAACTAACATTCACATTAAAAAAGTATACTAATTTTTTCACAGTATGATGTTATTATATATGTCATGTCGAATAGGTAAAACTTGCGATATTGGCTTAAATAGCAACACTCTTCTTGCCGAATAAGGCAAGCGAAATTTTGTGCATGCAATAATTTCGAAAAATCATTCCGAACGTAACGAGAAAAAGAATCATTGTTTTTATTAAACTATTGTAAACATATCTAAAATATATTTAGTTGGATTATGCTAAATTAAATTTTTCTTTTACAGAAAGGTTAGATAAGTTTTCTAAGGTTCTTTTGCTACAATATTATTAATTTTTACATTAACCTAAATGAAAAAAATATATCTTTAAAAGTATGAGAAAATTTTAGAAATTACTTAATTTTATGTGAGTTCTTGCTAACTGACCAACTTTACCTATACTAATAGGCAAAACTGGTCAGTTAGCAAGAACTCATTTAACAAGACCTCATCAACCTCACAAACCTTCCAAATTAACCACACTTGACTCACTGGAACTTGGTTGATACTCCTAAACTAATGATCATTATCTAGTACTGTTTGGATACAGATGATTTTGTTGATCAAGTACTGTAAACCTACATGGAGTACCACTGAACCTTATTATCATTCTCTTGGGATGTTTGAAGGGATTACTTGATATAAATAAACATTTGTTTCAGTTTTATTGAAACCTAAAAAAAAAAAATTATCTTTCTCTGGCTGTAATCTAACAAAAGTTTTTTCTTTTACATCTCATAAAGAAGATATAACTGACTTTCTTCTTTAGGAGACGTCACACAGGACCTCCGCCCGATGTTCTTCCCATAAACAGGGCTCTTTAGACCTCGTAGAACAAAATGCACAGGTAACGCCTACTTATATTTTTTACGTAACGGCTTTATCAAACCGTTACGTAACGGCTTGATAAAGCTCCTGGAGAGCGTGACGTTGCCACAATAAAATGTCACATTAGTTGCACTTGTGTCCTTTTAGTTTACATATTGTCGGTAATTCTACCAATATATATACAGTCAGAGATCTATAATTCTACCTCAGCTCATGCCCATGCCCAGTTCTAGGATATTATATTTAACCCTTAGGTATAGCCAGCAATAACTAACTCTGTTAACTATTTATTCGTGTCTTTCCCGCTAGGAAACCGAATCCGCGTTTTTTTTTTTATTTGCCGAGCGTTCTGTTATTAGATACTAAGTAATCTCTTGTTTTTTAAATCTGATTATAATCCCTTACTGGACTAGTGGACGGAGCAACAAGACTTATATTCCTGTATTTCCAGTCAAGACTACTCTTGCCTAGAACTGGGCATGGAAATGAGCTGAGGTAGAATAATAGAGCTCTGACATATATATATATTATATATATATATATATATATTTTATATATATATATATATATATATATATATATATATATATATATATATAAAATATACATATATATACATAATATATACATAAATATACATATAAGTAGTACCGGAGGCGGCTGAACGGTCCCTTCCTGAGCGGTCCCTCCTGAAAGGGCTGCGGCTGAGCGGTCCCTTTTTCACACCTATGTGCTAATGACCTTTTTCACACTATGTGCTAATGACCTTTTTCACACTATGTGCTAATGACCTTAACCCCGCCCCGACACCCCACCCGCGCCCCCCCACCCGCGACCCCCCCCACACGCCCCCACCCGCGCCCCCCACCGCGCCCCCACCCGCCCCGCCGCGCCTCGGCCGTCGCGCCCGACTGCGCCTTCTGCAGCGTTCGTGCGGATGCCCCCGCGCCCCGATTTTTTTTCCGATTTTTTTCAATTTTTTTTTTTAATTTCATTTTATTGTGCTCTCCTCGAATCAAGTTTTTTGGATTGCCCCTCCCACTTTCACCCCCATCCCAAATTTTTTGAATTTTTTTTTTCTCGATATCAAAGACTCCAATTCCTCGGATCAAGTTTTTTGGAAGTCTCCATCTCCTTGGATCAAAGTTTTTCTCGATAATACAAAGACTCCAATTCCTCGGATCAAATTTTTCTCGAAATCAAAGTCTCCATCTCCTTGGATCTTTCTCGATAATTTCAAGACTCCATCTTCATGGATCAAGGTTTTCTCCTCCATCTCCTCGGATCAAAGTTTTTTGGATTCCCCCCTTTGGGGGGTTTAAGTTTAAAAGGGAAAACCCCTTTCCTAGGGGGGCATGGTGCTTTCTCTTATACCCCCCCAAAAACCTCACACCCCAAACCCAAAAAACCTCAAAAATTTTCTCTCAAAACCCCCCCAATTTTTCCTTTTTTAATTTATTTCTTTCAAAAAGTACCACAAAAATTTAATAACCACTTTTCGATAAATTCACTAGTCAAAATTTTTAAACTTATTACGAAATTTAAATTTACGCACACACACCTCATTTTTATTTTTTGAACACCTTCAAAACACTCCCCCAAAAATTCTTTTTGAATACTCAAAAAAATCCCCTTTAAACCCCATTTCCAAACAACACGGGAAATCACTTCCAAAGCAACATTTTGAAACTCAAAAAATAAAAATTTGACAGTTTAATTTATCTACATTTTCACATTTCTTTAAAAATTAAAACTCATCCCCCCAAAACTCACCCCCCCAAAACTCCCCCAAAGACTTCACAAAATTATCACAAAAATTTAACCCCAAACACTTTACTTTAAAACATCCCCAAAAAAAACACCATAAAATTCCCTTTTTAAATACCCCAAAAAATCATTCGAACCCCCCCCAAAATCCCCTTTAAATACTCTCAGAACCCCTTCAAAAATTTACTCTTGCACACCCTTTTAAACACCTTCAAAAACCCTTTTGGGAAACTTTCCAAAACAACACTGAAACATTTCCCAAAAACACCATTTGAGAAATCAAAATTACCCCCCACTAAAATACTACAAAAAACCCCACTGAATACACTAAAAACACAAACCAAAAATTCACCAAAAAAACTAAGATCAACCCCCCACACCCCACAAAAAACCCAAAAACCCAAAACCCACCCACAACCCCAACCCCCAAACCCCCCACAATTTTTTCTGTTTTAATAATTTATCAGAAAGTCACAAAAACCCCAAAACTTATTAACACCCCTTTTTCCCGGTATTTTCTGTTCGACAACAAACCCACAACACCCACACCCCCCACAACCCCCCAAAAACCCAAACCCCCCCACAACCCCCAAAACCCCCCAAAAACCCCCACACCCCACAATTTTTTCTCGTTTTAACTAATTTCATCAGAAAAAGGCAAAAACAACAACCCACTTATAACATCTTTTTGGGTTTATCTTAGTTCGAACAAAAACCCCAAAACTACTTTCCCCCAAACACCCAAAACCCCCAACATCACCCCCCCCCCAAAACCCAAAACAAAACCCCATATCACCCACCCCCCAAACAAACAACAAAACCCCACACACCCAACCCCAAAATTTTTTTTCTCGTTTTAATAATTTTTTTCGAAAGTCAAAAACAACAAAACCCCCCCAAAACCCCAAAAAATTCACCCCCTTTGAAAAACCCTCAAAACACATTTGATTTAACCCCCAAATTACACCATTAAAAAATCCCTAAAAACCCCCACGGAATACACTCAAAACAAAACAATAAATAAAACCCTAAGATAAACACCCAATCCCACAACACCCCAAAACCCACAACCCCCACATCCCACATCACCCAAAACCCACTTCCCCAAAAAACCCACAATTTTTTTCTCGTTTTAATTTAATTTCATCAAAAAAAAGTCACAAAAAAAACCCCCATTTTATCATTTTTTTTGGGGTATCTCTAGTTCGGCCTAAAATTCCCCCACAACCCTATAAATTTACCAATTTTTTCCCAAAATTTTTTTTTCCCCTTTTTTTTTTACAAAAATTTTGTAATACACTTTTCCTCTTTACTTTTACTAAAATTCTAAAAAAAATCCTTTTCCAACCCATTCCTTGTATCCACATAAATTGATTTTTTTCCCTGCATCAATAATCTCACCCCCAACTATTCCCGAATGTTTAAAACCCCCCCCTTTCCATTCTTTTAAAATTATTAAAAAATTTTAAATTCTATAATTTTTTTTTAAAAATATTCACAAAATTCCCCTTTTATTTTCAGTAAAATCCCCCCATATTTTTTTAAATTTTCTAATAAAACCCCTCCCCTTCCCCCTTTTCCATCTCACCCGCATTTTTCCCCACACCCAAACTCACCCATCTCCCAAAACACCTTTTGGAACCCCACAACAAAAATAAACTTTTTCCCCATCCCAAATGCATTTTCATCCCCCATCTAAAACCAAACTAAAATCCTGTAACCAAGATTTTTACAAAACTCTATGACCACCTAACCCCACCCACACCCACACACAAAACCCCACATTTAAAAACCTAACCTAACCTACCAACAAACCCTTAACCTAACCAAACCAAACCCTTAACCAAATTCCAAACCCTTTTTCAACCCTTAATTATCCAAACCCTAACAAACCTAAATTTTCCCTTTCCCTAACCTAACCAAAACCAAACCAAACCCAAAACCTAACCGAACCTAACCTAACCTCCTTTTCCCCTATCCTAACCTTATCCTAACCAAAACCTTTATCCAACCAAACCCAAACCCTTTATCCTAACCTAAACCAAAACCAAAACTTATCCCCCCCCTAACCTAACCAAAATTATCCAAACCCAAAACCAAACCCTTTAACCCAAACCTAACCAAAACCTTAACCTAACTAACCTAAACCAAAACTTATCCAAACCAAACCCCAAACCTAATTTTAATTCCAAATAACTTACCCTTTAACCAAACCCTTTAACTTACCCAAAACCAAACCCAAACTTACCCTACTAAAACCCATTTAAAAATCACAAAAACCAAGATATTCAAAAAACTCAAATGCCCCACCAAAAACACACACACCACACCCCAAAACACACCCCACACAACACCAAAACACACACCCCCCTCATTTTAAATTGAACCCCTTCAAACACTCTTTACATAAATTGGGACCACCTTTTTTCAATACCCCCATCCAAAACCCTTTATCATTCACTAAAAAGAACAACCCAAGATTACTTGAACTTCTTCATAAATCATTTAAAACTACAAAAACACCTTTAAAAATTTTCCCAAAACCAACATAAAGCACCCCCAAAATATCTTTTTGTTTACTCCCAAATAAGATTTATCCCCTTTTAATTTTTTTACCTTACACATTTTTTAACTGAAATTTTAAAAAACCACATCCACCATAATACTCCTCAGTTCCAGACTTTACAAATTAACAAAAAAAAACCAAAACTCGGACATTATGCTTGGGGCATTTTCCCCAAAACTAACAAAAACCCACATATTTGTTATATCCCCAATTATCTAAGATCACCAAAACCCAAGGGACTTTTCCCAAAAATTCTAAAAAACCCCCACTAAGACCAAAACTTTTTTTTTGTACAATTCTCTTAAAACTCTTTCATAAGGGAAGATCACTAAAAATATCTATACTTTTACTAAGATCCTTTAAAATTTTGTCTTCTCTAACTCACCCCCCAAAATTCCCCCATTCTCATTCCATTAAACACTTTTTCCTTAAATTAAAACTCTTTCCCCCCAAACTCCCCCTATTCTCCAGACTTTACAACATTAGCCCCCCAAAAAACTAATTTAAAACACTTATGAATGAGACATTCCCATATCTAACCACAACTAACTTTGAACAAAATCTGAACCCCATGTTCTTCTTAAAAAAATACTTTTCCCCCCCGTCATTTAAAACCCCTTAAAAAAAACACCATAAAAAACACCCCCGAATACTCCCAAAACCTACTGATAACTACCAAATCACCA